TTGAACAATTAATTAAAACAGAAAGTGCTTTTACTAATGCTAGAAGAATATTTATTTGCAGAATGGCGAAGGCACCAGCTATTGGTATTGATCTGGGAACTACATACTCCTGTGTAGGAGTTTTCCAACACGGCAAGGTTGAAATCATTGCCAATGACCAGGGAAACAGAACAACACCCAGTTATGTCGCATTTACAGACACAGAAAGACTCATTGGAGATGCAGCAAAAAATCAAGTTGCCATGAATCCAACAAACACAATATTTGGTAAGTAAATTTAAATCAAATTACTAAAGAACTCTTGTTACTAAAGAACTCTTGTGTTGCCTACTAAACAGTTTAGTTTTGTGTGTTTTTGTTCATCTTGAATAATAAGTGTGCCATGATTTTTTGCATCTTTCTAAACAGTTACAACATGCTATAAAGTAGCCGCGACATAACAGAATACAAACTGAATGATCACCCCTGAATACAACTCATTAAGTTGGCTACCGTCTGGTACAACTTATAAAATTTTGACAGGATCAAATATAGAACAAATTTCTATAACAAGGAGCAGTCTTAATAAAACCTCGAGACTGGATATGATGCAATGAAACCGTTTAGATTCCTCAAGAAAATGACAGTTAAAAATAACTATGCCGTTGTTCATTAGATCCATCACAAGCATACTTATGAGAATTATTTTTTTCAGATGCAAAACGACTTATTGGAAGAAAGTTTGATGAGTCTGCTGTGCAGTCCGATATGAAACATTGGCCATTTAATGTTATAAATGATGCAACTAAACCAAAACTACAGGTCGAGTACAAAGGAGAAACTAAAACATTTTTCCCTGAAGAAATCTCTTCAATGGTCTTGAACAAGATGAAGGAAACTGCTGAAGCATTCCTTGGAAAGGTAGGCAAATGTTTTGTTTAAAACTGTGATTAAACATTTCTACTTTCTTGCCTGGTGTTGCTTGAAATTAAAACTGTCTTTGAATTGCCAGCATTGCTGTGAATTAGAGAAATTGATCAGACTTTATTATTTATTTGTAATGTAATGATGTAATGCTTTAACTTTTGTGTTTTTATGTTTCTTGTGAATAACTTTTCAGACTGTGACAAATGCTGTAATCACTGTGCCAGCTTACTTCAATGATTCTCAGAGACAGGCTACAAAGGATGCTGGTACCATTTCTGGTCTCAATATCTTGCGTATTATTAATGAACCAACAGCAGCAGCCATTGCTTATGGTCTTGACAAGAAGGTATGTTGAATTTTAATATCTCCTAACATATTGTGATGAATGAACCGAATTTTTGATGGGTTTTATTGTATTTTGCCATTTTGTGAATACCCTTTTTGCACTTGTGGAGAAGGAACCGTTAATACCATGGTTTATATTTTACCCTTTTTATTTTAGAGCCAAGGAAATGTAAGAAAAAAATTTAATTCCAATTATTGCACTCCCATTTTAAACTCCGTATAAATATCTGTAACATTCCCACACTGAGATGTTGTTTCGTAGTTAGTATTAATGTAAATATGATACATGTTGAAATTTGATTTAAGTAAATAGATTTATTAAACCCTTTCATTGTACAAGAACCTATCCTATGTAATTTTCTATCTCTGTAGAGGTTCATTAAAATATTCTGTTAATTAACAAACTGTTGAGATTTATTAAAATATTTCATGGAATTTTTAAGTAGTTTTAACAAATATTAGTCTGATCCATTGCATAAATCTAAAGACAAATGTTTTGTGAACAATTACAAATTGATAGTATTTTTTAATTTGAAATTTTCTTAGGAAAATTGAGACATTTACAATTGTTACTTTTCAGGTTGGAGGTGAAAGAAATGTCCTTATTTTTGATTTGGGTGGTGGTACATTTGATGTTTCCATCCTTACCATTGAAGATGGTATCTTTGAAGTAAAATCCACATCCGGTGATACTCACTTGGGTGGTGAAGATTTTGACAATAGAATGGTGAACCATTTCATTCAAGAATTTAAAAGAAAGCACAAGAAAGATATGAAAGACAATAAGCGTGCTGTTAGACGTCTCCGAACAGCCTGTGAGCGAGCAAAGAGAACACTGTCCTCTAGCACACAAGCCAGCATTGAAATTGATTCCTTGTTTGAGGGAATCGATTTCTACACTAGCATCACTAGAGCTCGCTTTGAGGAACTTAATGCCGACTTGTTCCGTGGTACCCTCGAGCCAGTTGAGAAATCTCTTAGAGATGCTAAGTTTGATAAGAGTGGTATTCACGAGATTGTATTGGTTGGTGGTTCAACAAGAATTCCAAAGATCCAGAAACTCCTCCAAGACTTCTTCAATGGCAAGGAGTTGAACAAAAGTATCAATCCAGATGAGGCTGTTGCTTATGGAGCAGGTGAGTTGAACTTTGATCATGTCATGTTTCATTTAAAAAATTTTCTGTACTAGGGTACTTTATGATTAATGGGGTTAATTTTTGGGAGGTTGGTGGTTATACACTTTATACCTAATTTGTCTGATGCAAAGTGACTAAACTGTGTTGTACTGTTTTAATCTGTTAATTGCATCAAGTGTTTATTTAATGAATTATTTAGTTTCCAAAATGTTTATGATCTGGTTTCTTTTTCAGCTGTACAAGCTGCCATTTTGCATGGTGACAAGTCTGAAGAAGTACAAGATCTGCTCCTGTTGGACGTAACACCCCTTTCCCTTGGTATCGAGACCGCTGGTGGTGTAATGACGTCACTCATCAAGAGAAATACTACCATTCCAACTAAACAAACTCAAACATTCACTACATACTCTGATAACCAACCAGGTGTACTTATTCAGGTGTATGAAGGTGAAAGGGCTATGACCAAAGATAATAACATCCTTGGAAAGGTTGGTATACATAGCATATTTTCTTTTATTTATTACTAGTTTTTTATCAGTTGTCTGTTCAAGATGTCTACACAAAGTTTAGTCTAAACATGATTGTAAATTTCTGATTTCTATGCAATCCAAATACTTTAATTTCATTGTGCCTAAAATGACAAATTTAAATTTGTTACAGTTCGAGTTGACCGGAATCCCACCTGCACCAAGAGGTGTGCCACAGATAGAGGTCACATTTGACATTGATGCCAACGGTATCCTCAATGTTACTGCCTGTGACAAGAGTACTGGAAAAGAAAACAAGATCACCATTACAAATGACAAAGGTAATTATATTACTGTTGCTATGGATTTCATGCAGAGGTTTATACTTAACGCACCCGAGATTGGTCAAGTTGAAGAAAATGGCATTTGAAATTGGACAGAAAATTTAGCAAAGTATCATACAAGACGACTGGTTAAGATTGTGATGATGTATTTTACCATTCGCAGTTGTTACTGAGGGTTAATGCAACCCAAAGAAGGCCTTTACCTTCCTTGGATGTCTGAATCTTAACATGAACAGTCGGCAGAAATACTTTTAAAAAAAACTTGTGTGATTTATATGAAAACTTCACATAGTACATTTATGGAATGCTATTTGTTACTGTTGAAACTGGGGAACATGCTATTAAAAGTCTAAAATTAGGAAATTTTTAGAGTAACTGGCAAAAACTACAAAGCATCATGTGATGCTTTTTATGTACAATTTTGTTTGTTGGTAATTCAATTGCAAGATTCTTTCTGAGAAGGAAATGTTTTTATTTTGAAATAATAAGGGAACTCCATGAATTCGAAATTTGCTTCTCAATTGGTCAGGGACGGTAGTAACTATATGGGGGGAAAGGGCCGATAACATTTTCTGTTGAAACTTTTAAGATGAAATATTAATGAGTAGGTTTAGGATAAATATTTAAATGGAGGTAAATGTTTATATTTGGTCAAGATGATGATGATGTATTTTACCATTCGCAGTTGTTACTGAGGGTTTATGAAACCCAAAGAAGGCCTTTACCTTCCTTGGATGTCTGAATCTTGACTACTAAACATTTTTGTTAAAGCAGCATGCCTCCAGATTCATGCTAATTTTCATGAAAATTCTGAAAATGTATTTAAAAGTAAAATAAATTGTGCAGTGAACAAAGAAAGTAACACAGTAGAATTATAGTGTAACGCAGTAGAATTAAAGTGATTGATACTGTAAAATCAGTCATTAATCGCACATTACATGTTAAGAATTAATTAAATATTGAGTCTTTTTATTTTTCTTAAGATCTTGAAACATTTTTCTAAAGATTGAATTTCTTGAAATATTTTGGCTCATCTAGAGGCATTGCAGCTTTAAAGAATGATTTTAAAGTGAAACTGATTGTTCCTTTAAACAGTATTAATCAAAAGTATTAAAATAAATAAACACGACTTAAGTAAGAAATTGGCCGCAGCTTTATTGCGCCTTTCCTTGAAAATGGGACAATTTAATTTTATGATTTTAAGATTAATTCAGGTGTTCCAGATGACATATAATGGTATTAGAATTTAGTGTGCAGTGAAACCAAACAACAACAAAAAAAAAAAAAAGAGTCCTTTATTTGGTGCATGCTAAAAAGCCTTTATTGTCAAGATTGTGATGATGTATTTTACCATTCGCAGTTGTTACTGAGGGTTTTTGCAACCCGAAGAAGGCCTTTACCTTCCTTGGATGTCTGAATCTTGACTTTTGTTCTGCATAAAAATTTGTTATATCTTGATACTCTGTAATTTATAATCAAATCTGGAAGTTGTGATGATTTTTCCCGATCATTCGCAGTTGACCCTGAGGACTTGACAGTCCTAAGATGGTTGTTACCTTCCTTGGATGTCTGAACTTCCAACTAGTGTTCTGCTAGTAAGTTTTGTAATTATTTGCCGAGATCAAATGTCAGTTTCTTCACATTTTTGCTTCTTTCTCTTCAGGACGTCTTAGCAAGGAAGAAATTGACAGAATGGTCAACGATGCTGAGAAATACAAGGCAGAAGATGATAAACAGAAGGAGAGAATCTCCGCCAAGAATGGTTTAGAGAGCTACTCGTTCAACATGAAATCAACTGTTGAAGATGAGAAGTTGAAGGATAAGATCAGCGAAGATAAAAGGAAGGTTTTTTTGGATAAATGTAATGGGTCTTTTCCGGGCTTGATGTAATAAAGCGGGCGAAAAGGGGAAGAGATAGAAAACAAAAGGATTGGAAAAAAATCTGCAACCCAAATCTTTCAAAAAGTTTTTACCTGCCGGGGGTGCCCCGGGTTTGGAGCCCCGGGGCGGTACCCAAAATTTTGGATGGGGTGCCGGGAGCTGCCCCGGGTTTGGGGTTCAAGCGGGGGCCCAACCCCATGGGGGAGGTCGATTAAATACCAACGGTCGCAAACTAAGCTAGTCACTACTATCAAAGATTTAGAACAAATAGACAATACAAATTCAATGTTGATTTTGTTTTCTTTACACTTGATACACAAATTATTTTGTGTTTAACTTTACTCGTTATTCATATTGAACTAAGTGACTTTAAACTACTACAACAACGCGATATGTGCTTTTCATTAGTTGATTAACATCCTTCTTCATTTTCATCATACTTTTGTATTCTATTTATTTTCAATCATCTTGTTAAAAACTTTTTGTTATAAACATCACGGCCAAGTGATCATGAATAAAACGAAAGAGCCTGAATATTTGTTTTCTTTTATCTGATGTAGTGTCGAAATATAAAGCCAAGAAAGATTCACATAGATTTATTTTCAGTTGTGAAATTGTTGTCATATAGACTAAAAAATCACATAAGACTAGAAATTATCAAACATTAATTTTGGGACTTCCTGTTTAATGGACAGTTAATCATCTGTAACATCTGGTGCAACTGAACTCGGATGTGTGAAAAATAATGAATTTAGAAATGGAATCATTTAAAAACTACCTTGCCTTCACTACACATGGGAAATATAAATAAAACTGCAAAGGTCTTAAACCTGAAACATTTTTCAGAAAAATGAAATAGAAAAGCATTATCGGACCAGATACACATAACGTATATGCTGTTGTCCACAGCGGGTTTGAACCAATGCCCTCTCTGAAGGAGGTTCTGCACTAGGTAATAGTTATAGTATATGAAACGAGTTAGTTACGGGGGTGTAACAGTGGTTGGAACGACATCTAGGTGTTTGTCAAAATAGTCTAGGCAGAGACGATATTTTTTTCCATTAACATCCCAAGATGTCGCCCCAGCCATTGTTATACCACCGTGACTTACGAGTTTCATATATTATAACTGTTCATTGCAATTTCATTTTTTTTGTAACAGAAATTGGTTAAAAAAATACATTGTGCATTTTCCACTCATGTGTCCCTTTCACTTTCGTTTCGAATGGCAACCCCAGATTTAATGAACCAATACCAGCTTATGCACTCTACAGGACCTCGCAGCTAATAAGTCATGGTTGTCCAAGAAAAAAAATAAGATATATCGAGAATTTGTGGGTATGTTATGCAGTGCAAAAGAACCGTAACTGCCTTTCCTAATTTTGGAGTTGTTGCCCTTTCATTGTTCGGGACATAACTAACTAGAAGCGATATCACCAAGAAACTGTATGTAGATATATCTCATTGGGTAAATGATGTAAAAGAATCGTAACTCTGCATTGTCCAATTTTGGAGTTACTGCCCTTATTTTATTTTTACACTGAATTTTGTCCGGGACATAACTCTGAAACAACAAGAGGTATCGACAAGAAACTTGTTGGTACTTTGCAAAAGAAACGTAACTGGACATAACACTGAAACTAAAGAGATATCAACAAGAAGTAGTTATTCTGTGTCCAAAGCCTGTTTGGTGAGCTTCACCCGGTCCAGTCAGCTCATTTTTTTTGGCGTGTTTTAAATGTTACCCTATGGCCCCTTTGACCCTATGCCCTCTTTGAACCTCCTTGAAAAACTCAGCCGATATATAGCAGCTATATATCAATTGAGTTTTTTCCTGAAAAAAAAAAACAACAAAAACAAAAAACTGTACTTCTATATATCGATACAGTTTTTAAATCCTAAATGGAAGTGTGCGTAAGGAAAAGCTCGAAGCCATGCGATAAGCATCTAAAACCTAGGGTTTATTATGAAGCCAGGCATTCGACATAATTTCAACTCTGTTGCATAAAATGACCTGTCTCTCGGCGGCCAGGGGAGAGAACTAGAACATAACGTTTTCTTATGTCTTTATAGATTTCTCGCCCCTGGGGAAGATTGCAATGACCGTATAGGTAGCACTCCACAGTTAATTTCAAGTTCCTGCCGTCAATGTCCTACAAGCAATACGTCTAATAATTCTGATACCAAACTACACAACCTGGAAAAAGAAAACACATTTTGTTGAGAACATATATGACATAAGATTGCAAATCTACAAAGAAATTATCCCATCTGCAATAGGCAGGCAGTCAAAAAATTTGCAATTCATTCCGTTGAAGCCCAAAATCTACAGTGGCCCGAGACCCAAAACAACACATTTCGACCCTCTGGCAAAAAATATCTGCAAATATACAGGCTAAAGGAACACCGTCACTGCTTTAGCAAATCCCTATACATGCAAAATATCACAAAGAAACTAGTCCTCAACCTTGTAGATTTTTTGCTACTGCTAAAAGTTTGTACCCCCCTGTAAAATGACTTCTTTTTACCGTGCATGCTGTATAAAAGCAATGTTTACAAAAAATGGCGGCCTTGACATTCATAATCAACAGCATGTGATTTCTGGCCATGTTTTCGAATTTGCCAGTGATCATATTAGATGTCACAAAAACAAATTTTATGCTGAAAATGCATTTTAAAGACAACCAGTCATTTAAATCCAGAATATTCACTATATCCAAGAAATCCTCCCTGGCCATTCGAAGCTGTGGCTTACATTACTGTGGTGTGCTACCTATGGTACTCATTTTCCAGGATGATAGATCGAAATAAAGCCATGTAACGTGACATAAGGCTATTTAGTACAGTCCATGAGGACCTTTTTTCCATTGATAAATGTTATATCAATGTAATAACATTGATATAACATTTATCCATGGACCTTTTTTTTGCACACAAAAGGTCCAAAGGGACTGTACCAATTATAATACTGCACGTTTGTAACTTCACTTCATCGGAAAATTGTGACGTTTATATTATTAGTTATAGATATTTTGACAGGTAATATGACCCTTTATTTTATGCTTTTCAGTGGATTACTGATTTATCCGTGAAAATTATATTTGATAATTTCACAGTGAAAATTATCAAAATATAATTTCATTTTTTTCAATGACGAAACTACTTTTTTAAGATTTTCCCCATGTGGTACCTCAATTTTATTTTTACTGACAATTCTGACAATATCAGGCTGTTAAAAAAATAGCAAAGCTGAAATAGATAAATAACTTAAATGTCAAAAGTAATAAAGAGAGAAAACTTACTTCTATTCCTTCAAATTCCAATCACAAAATTTCGTCTCTAAATTTTTTTGTTTCTTTTTTTTTACAGTCTGAAAAAATATATTCCTTCCCCATGCAAAACTGCTCTTGATGACATTTGGGCATATTAAAGTATCCTACGAGCAATAACTGCCGTATGCTTTATGAAAAATTGAAAAGCATTGACCAGCTATCACTCGTAAAATAAGCAAATTAACCCAGCGTTCCTTAGCAAGCTTCCAAGTTTTCCATTTTCCTAGCTCCTTTTCTGAATGTTTTCACTTCTGTCAACACTTCTTTTTTGTCTGTTACAATCCTCAAATAAGTTTTCTTTCTTTTAAAAAGGTGTATGACTAACAAATCCAAATTATATCCTTCTGTATCTTACACAATTATTTTCCTCCCATGAAATACACGACTTTAAAAAATGGCTGCCGTTTACATTTTACAAAGCCAGGTCTAATATAAATTCGCAGTAAGTAACAGAAATATGGATGGATGGTTGGACTTTTTCTCCTACAAGAATTGTTTGTTTTTATTATTAAAACAAGCGATCATTCATATTTTTTTAATAAAATGAATAAATATCACATTCATTTAACCTTCATTGGCGGACTTATTTTTCAGCTCAAGACTTCTTGTTTTTAATGAGAAATTCCCTCTAAATGGGGCTCTCAATGGGGGAAACAGATTTTAATATTAACTTTAAAATTATGGAAATTTCGTTTTAACTTGTTTTAAAGCATAAAATAAAAAGAAAATTTGTCTGTTTGTTGTGTAAGATGTAATTTTATTTCATCTCGTGAACTTTAAAAACAGTATTCTCACTCGTGGCTACGCCACTCGTGAGAATACTGTTTTTAAAGCCCACTCGATGAAATAAAATTTCATCTTACACACAAACAAACAAATATCCTCTATATATAAACGGTTGTTTCGAAATATAACCCGAGCCGATAGGTCATATAACCTGTACAGCATTTTTTTTTAAAGAAAAAAGTAAGTTTTCTTTATAAATCAACAGCAGCCTTGTATATAAACGTCATGATTATCCAATGAAAAGCGACGTTACAAACCTGCAGTTTTGTATACATGGCTGCTGTCAATATATGAAGAAATCTCATTTTTTTCACAAAAAATGGAAGTTTTCAGTTTTATAAATTCGTTATAAATTTTCCTGACAGTTTATAAACTTCTTATTTAAAGGTATTTGTGAACCAAATGATTTGATCTTATTTTGCTTTAAGGTACTAAAGCCACAATGATTTTCATACGACCGTTTGGAGGATATCTCCTACATGCTTTGAAATGAAACTTCATAGATATGTTCAACACTTTGAGAAGCTGTGTCGCGCATATGAACTCGGTCGAAGGTCAAGGTCACACTTAGAGGTCATTGAAAAACGCTCGTCCGGAGCAAAACTTTACATTTATAGAGGGATTTAAATATAACTTGGCACGAATGTTCACAATTGTGAGGTGGAGTGTCGCATGCAGAATTTAGGTCCCTGCCGCTGGGGTCAAGGTCACACATAGGGGTCAAGTTCAGATAAAAATATGGACCATTTAGTTGTCGGTTATTGAGGGATTGAAACACGAATGGTCATTATCATGACCATGTAATTTAGGTTAATATATGCAAGGCCATGGTCACTTAAAATGGTAAAATATAGAAATTTTGTCCAGAGCATATCTCCTATATCCATGTCTATAATGCCCACATCTCTGACAAAAGCTTTTGTGACGGGCGTATTTTGCGACAATGCTGCCCTTGTTTATCTTCGGTTCTTGTCACATATTAAATTGCGGCGCTCCCTGAACTTACTTTTTTAAAGATATATGTATAGTGCATACAATACTTGCCCCGTTCCAGAGGCGTGATTCTGTTACATTGCCGGTGTAGAGCACCGATATAGAGGACTCGGAGGATATTGGGGGAGCGGTGCATCAAGCTCGCGACACCTAAATTACACATTTTTACAGTATTGTTAATGGGTGGTATTGTTAATGGGTGGAGTGACCCCTGGATTAAACTTTTAACGGTATTGTTAGTGGCAGAACGGTGGATCGAGCTCACGACCCCTGGATTACTGAGAGGGCACTATAATAGCTTTCTTTTGTATCGGACCGCAGACGATTCAGAATGCAAATTCACTGGTGCGTTTTTACTTGTTACTTATAGCAGTGGAAATTCTTTCTGATTCTTGCCATTTTGTATCGTTAAGTGTGTTAAAGCATATGAAATACTACACCGCACCTCGGACGTACATTACACAGACACTTGGGGTGTGGAGCTCAAAACGCCTTAAAAATCCAAATAAAATGCATATTTGTCAATCCCAGCACATGTACTGATCAAATATATCAAAAAACTTAATGTAAGCCGTTTTGAAAAAAATTCATATTTCAACGTCTATAATAATAAATTGTACACGTGTATTATTAGAAAGTATTTTGGAGAAAAAATACGTATAAGTGATACGGGTAGGTCTTACTATAGACTATAGTATATTTTCGCTACAGGAAAGCTCCATGACTTAATGCGAATTTAATATAACTGATACTGCTGTATCATAATTATTTCTTTTTTTAAAGTTATATAGCATTTCCGATAAAAGGAAAAATATGAATAAATTAACGCATTTGCCATTTCTGCTTTATATTGATATGATATGGAAATCATATTTTGATATAAATAGGATTCGATAACTTAGTGATAAATCATACTTGTGACGTATTATCATGTAGCGTTATCAGTTGATATTAAAGTGTGTAAATAAATGAACGAGTTAGATGTATTTGAATTGTTAAAGTGAACATTACGAAACTATAACAAATATTGAAACTATGGTTAAAAACGGATTTTTCCTTGTGTTTGTGATAATAAACAGTGCAATATATGTTTGTAGTGGAAATTTGACAAATTATGATTCTGAAAATGAGAAAGAAAATAAAGTGTTTGGAAACGCCCTTAATGGTGGATATATAAAAGACGATGCCCATATTGGAAATGACCATCAGAGAGGTTTAATAATCGGTATAATTTTCATTTTCTGATACATAAAAATATGTGTATATATCGATCGCAAAGTTGTTCAATACAAGATTTTTCGTCATTATTATGATTATAATCTATTAACATTATAATTAAATTTGACATTTTTTTCTTTTTCTTTTTTTTTCTTTTCCTATTTTTTTACATATGGAATTACTTACCATTTTAAGTAAAAAAAAATGCGAAACGCCGATTATTAATTGATACAACGGACTGAAAAAAAAATCACATTGTTATCATACCGACTCTTGTTTAATTCTCCAAAGGCCACTGCTGAAAACTAATCTGTATATGTATGTTTTATGCTAAAATTGTAACTTTTGTTATGTCTTTAGCTATGTTTTGATTAAAGCTGTACCAAATCCATTTTCTTCTGTAAATATTTTTATAGACTATAAAATGGTAAAAAACTAGAGGAATACCAGTTATCAATACATGTATCCACGGATTTATATTCCGTGATGTATCCTTTTATTCACATGTATGTATACTACATGTTTTGTGCAATGATTCACTAACTTTATTTTTGTGTTAAAGCACGGATTTATAGTGTAATATAAATCCGTGGTTAAAGGCACATTATGCTCCAGAAATGCTTTTTTTACTCACAAAAACATTTTTATTTTGGTGTCCTGTTATTGTGTCGAAAAAGTTACTCGATCGTTGGCCAAATAAACGTGAACCATCCTTTGCTATTGGCAATTAGTACAGTTACAATTATTTATTATTTTGTATGGTAGTCAAAATACTACTTTGTTTACATTTTGCTACTTTTATGACAAATAGCATCACATTCAGCACTATAACTTTCTTCAGGTGAAAAAGCATCTAACGTGCCACAAAGCCATTTTGCAACGTTATAAAACTAATGATTGTATTTTATATAAAGAAGGGAAAAAACATTTTTTTTCAATTTCTGTTATTTCTGTTTATGTGCCTCGCTAATTTTCATCCGAAGATTAAAATTAATTTGTGTTATTTAAGTACAAATTGCAAGAATGCTTAATTTTTGTGTAAAATCATTTTAAACAGCGTCTTTACTGTTTAACACAAATATATACTTACCTTTAAAGATGAGAAAAACAACTATGCTAGGAAATTCGTTCGGAAGCGTTCGGCAAATGGAACGGATATTTACGGACATCTGGCGGGTATTTCGGGAGGTTCCGTGATACATGTGGACAAGGACAATATTTCAAAAGCCGTTGATGTACTGAGCACAGTGACTTTGGTGAGCATACTTTTATTCATTTGAAAATTATATGTTTTTTTAACATCATCATCTTCATCATCATCACCATCATCATCATCATCATCATCATCATCAACAACAACAACAGAAAAAAACTTATTGCATTGTAACCATGTATATGCAGCATTATACATAGCAATGGTTTATATTTTTATTTGGGAATAATGTGTTTTGTGAAAGAGTGCCTTTATAATTTCTCGGCTAAAGTATATTCAGAATAGTTAACAAATTTTCAAAATACATAAATGAATAAATAAATCAAAAAATAAGAAAAATAAAGTAAAAAAAGAATAAAGTAAAAAAGATAAAATAATTATTATGCCATTTGACAAATTTCCTTTGCCTTTGCACAGATATTTTATACTTCCAGAAAAAGTATAAGTACACGCAATTTGACACAAGGCACACATGTACTTTGCCTTTTGACTTATTTTGAAATTTCATACAAATTCATGTTTCAGACAAACCCTGTGATTGTGAAACGGAGGCAACTGAAAATTAATGGCGTGGGACAGATTCCATTTTATGTAGACAATTCACTGACTAAAATTGCATTAGAAATAAAGACATCATGTTGTAAACCAGACAAAGTGATAGTCACAGATCCGACAGGTAAAACTTTTTGTCGAAATTAAAAACGTATACATACAATGTTTCCTTGAACTTTTCTTCCATGGATTAGCAATGATATGAACACCGCAGCTAGAATGTATTTATTTGTTAACAGTTTTGAACCGTACAGTAGAATTTCAGTGGGATTGGGGACTTGCATTCTTTTAACCTGCTACTTTTCTTACATAGAGTTGTCAAACTTCAAAGATAATAATTTCTTTTTCTTTAACAGGATCATAGTTGTATTTTGTTTTATTTCTGTTTTATTTATGTACCAGGATATCATAACTATCTTTTCTTTCTTTAACAGGATCATAATTATACTTGCTCAATTTTTCATTAAAGGAACTCTAATGAGGTCCAAAAGCTGAAAAGGATTTGCAATTTTTATTATTATTTATTTATTTATTTATTTTAGTTACGAGTTATTGTTCTGGTAAAACAGAATAAGTTAATGATTCTGGAACTTTGCACCAAGTTATTGGTCTAGACCTATATCAAATGGAAAATTAAATTCGAAATATTATTTCCTGTCCTGCCATGTCAATAAACTTTCAAATCCTTTTTTCAATTAGTTCTTCTAATGTATACACCAGTACTGAGCGAAAATCAACATTTTTGTAAGAAATCAAGATATAAATTTATAGTTATTTAATATATTACACATACAGGCAGCAATTTAACAACAACAAGTGTAAATGTGACAGTGAAGGTAGATACGACAACAATGACGTATGTGATGATATCACGAAAATTTGTTCCAGGTAAATTATATTTCTTATGCAATCTACCTCAAAAGCGAGTTTTTTTTTTCATTTTTAAACAAAATAGCACGCAACCAAGATAGTTTTTTCGTCCATTGTTTTCACGGCATGATAAATATTAACCAGTTTTGGTTCGTTTTGTTTTCCCCATACCAGTACTCAATTGGCAAACAGATACACATAATACTATTAATTAATATGCTTGGTTGTTTCAGTAAAAAAGCCCCAAGATAGTGCTCCGCCGTACACTTTTTCAGTCATAAATTGTCATTCTTCATTAACATAATGATGATAATATCTTTATTTCCTCTCTTTACAATATCACAATTCTAATGAAACAAGCAAAATATTAACAATGTAAATAATCACAGAATATCATTCTATATAGTTACAGTATAAAAATATACATATTTAGATATAAACACATATTAATATAATGATGTTTTTTTACACACTTTTAAATATCAAATTTGTATACAGTCAAGATAAATATCATTATGTAATCGATCAATAAAATAGTATATATGCTTGATAGGTTCCCCGTTTAAAACGGGATTCAAACCCGCATCTGTGAAATGCAAGTGGAGTCACCAACCTTTACTACTCTACCATGAAGGTTCCTTTTTACTTTTTTAAAAAGTACATTAATTATTCTTTAACTATTCTCTTATTTTACAATGTTTTGATCAGAAACTAATTGTTTATATATTTTCTTATTTAAGGAAGTTGGATCTTGTCAATATATGACACGCACAATCAGAACTATGACGTCACCATACACGGAAGCAGTTTGATTGATTTTGATCTTTCGATGTGTGACAGCTTAGGTAATACGGTGCCAGGACAGCCGATTCCAGGTAAAAAGATATGTGTCTGACACTGTACTCAAACCTTTAAATTTCACTGTAGCTATTTATGAAGTGAAAGGTAGGACAAAACTACGGAATGCCGTTAGGGCCATTGCCTATGAATGTGTTGATCTGAAACGCGATAGTCGATAGTACGATGGTGAAAACGCGAAATCACGAAACTACGATGGTGAAAACGCGAAAGCACGATGATGAAAACGCGAAAGTACGATGATGAAAACGCGACAGTACGATACTACGATGATGAAAACGCGATGAACTATCGTGTTTTCACCATCGTACTGTCGCGTTTTCACCATCGTAGTTTCGTGATTTCGCGTTTTCATCATCGTACTGTCGTGTTTTCATCATCGTACTATCGCGTTTTCACCATCGTACTATCGCGTTTTCACCATCGTACTATCGCGTTTTCATCATCGTACTGTCGTGTTTTCATCATCGTAGTATCGCGTTTTCACCATCGTACTGTCGTGTTTTCATCATCGTACTATCGCGTTTTCATCATCGTACTATCGCGTTTTCACCATCGTAGTTTCGTGATTTCGTGTTTTCACCATCGCACTATCGACTATCGCGTTTCAGATTAACACATTCATAGACGATGGCCCTAACGGCATTCCGGAATGCCGTTAGGGCCATCGCCTATGAATGGTTTGATCTGAAACGCGATACTCGACAGTGCGATGATGAAAACGCGAAATCACGAGACTACGATGGTGAAAACGCGACAGTGCGATGGTGAAAACACGATAGTTTATCGCGTTTTCATCATCGTAGTATCGTACTGTCGCGTTTTCATCATCGTACTATCGCGTTTTCATCATCGTGCTTTCGCGTTTTCACCATCGTAGTTTCGTGATTTCGCGTTTTCACCATCGTACTATCGACTATCGCGTTTTAGATCAACACATTCATAGGCGATGGCCCTAACGGCATTCCGTACAAAACATATAAAAAGTGAATACTTTTCAGGGTATATCAATATTCCACCTTTAAGTTTTTTTTTCTTCTTCAAAATTACATATATATCTATCATATAAACGGACACGTATATACATGTATATATTAAAAGGAAAGCATATAATACATGGAATGTTTGCTGTCAACATTTTAGCCGCGTCACGACAAAACCAACGTAATGCGTTTGCGACCAGCATGGATCCAGACCAGCCTGCGCATCCGCGCAGTCTGATCAGGATCCATGCTGTTCGCTATCAGTTTCTCTACTTGTAATAGGGTTTGTAAGCGAACAGCATGGATCCCGATCAGACTGCGCGGATGCGCAGGCTGGTCTGGATCCATGCTGGTCGCAAACGCATTACGTTGGTTTTGTCGTGACGCGGCTCATTTTGTGTTTGAATTCGTGGGGGACATCATGCCTTCGCGTAAAATCTTATACAGTGTATAAATTTAAAATAATAGAACGGTAATATGAAGTCTGAAAGTGTTAACAATTTCTCTTTTTTAATTTATTAACTTTATAAAATACATTAAAAAAGAAAAAGAGTAAAACACCACCAACAACAACAAACGACACAAAATGTATGAAAGTATATAAAAAATCTGATTAATGCAATATTAGCTTAACACGAAGCCGTAAAAATCGTATTTTCAAATCTGTGATAAATTGATAAACAAGGCTCTTCTCATTCCTAGATACTAGCTGGAAACCAGGATATAAAATATTATGACACATGGGGGAAAATAGCCTCATATTTTTAAAACAGGGCCACTGGTATGAGTCAGACCAGCGTGTTCATCTATGCAATTTGGCTATACCACACTGTCGGCTTCTAAAGTTTAAACTACATTCGTACCACTGTTTCAGGACAAATCCATTGTATACACCCCCGCTTAAAAAACAAAACAAAACAAAAACAAAACAAAACAAAGCAAAAAAGAAAAGAAAAGAAAAATAAACAGCAACAAAGCAAAGTGTGCCCTACATGAGGTCAAGATAACAATCTGTCTTTTAAAGTAAACACGGCATTTGAAAATACTTATGGTATATAATTATGGAATATTAATGGTAACAAATCGGTAAAATATGATCCATTTTTGTTCCGTAGATGGTTGTTTAGATAACAAGCATTTTTCTACAAAAATATGAACACTCTAAAGGGGTTGTAATATTTGAAGTATGGCTTAAAAAGAATGCCATAGTTCGTTGAACCTTTATGACACAAGTGTATTTGGTAGTTGTATAAAGATTTAAAGTAATCTTCAACAATGTTTGAAATACTATCTGTCGTTAAAAGTAACTACAACCAGATGTCAAATTCGGAAAAAATAATGATGTATATGATAATAATATAAGAAAACTTGTCTTTGAGAACAATCATGTATGTTATTAAAAATAAGCCCAAAGTATGCATGTACATTGTCAAGTAAACCGGAAGAGTGCATGCGCTTTGACAAGTAAGTCGGATGTATGCATTCACGTTGGCAAGTTACCCGGAAATATGCAAAGTTCTTGCCAAGATAGCTGGACCTTCGCAAATAAGCTGGAAGTATGCAAATTACTTCATCGTTATAATTGGATAAGGAAAAAATATTAGCAAATGTAACATTGTATAATATATGGTGTTTAAAGTCATATTCATACTGCGATTAGTAGCTCCAATCTAATAAATGTTCTGAGACAAACATTTCAGCCGTAATACTAGTGCCAGTATAATTAAGGTGCTTGCTAACAAATTTAATGTCATCATAAAAACAGTGTCGTGTTTGCTGTCCAGACCAATGTGCGTATAGCGACTGTTCAAAGCCAATTAAAATTGTTTCATTCTCACTTCAACCATTGTCTTTACAAATAAGTTCAAGTTGCCAGATTGTCTTGATCTTTAACGATTTTCTAAAATAGGCAATCAATATAAATACATGTATATTGATTTTTTTTACTAATATACATTCTGTACATGTGTCATGTAACCTAGAAGAATATCTATGTAGCATTTCTGACTGACATGTCAAAGTATTTCTAATTAGGATTTATCACAAATTTCCTTAAACTTTCATTTTGTTGTATAAAGGTAGCAATTCAACATATGTGAAAGTCTCTCCTATCGGACTGGACTTGGTTTCCAACTGGACAAGCTTGCAGATGTTTGCCGTCAATGGAACGCTAATACAGACGACACCTGTTGGGAGGTTACGGGGGTCAAGGACAAGTAAAGCGTTTCTCATTCCAGTGGTATGGCCAAAAAAGGTGATGAAATTTGTGATATCAAAATAAAAAAAAAAACCTAAGATTGATATTTTATACATGTTCTGCTGATAAGAAAGAAGGAAACAAAGAAAGAGAATAAGAAAAGCAAGAAAGAAAGAAAGATGAAAAGAAAGAAAGAAAGAAAGAAAGAATAGAATGCAATTAAAGAAAGAAAGAAAGAATATAATGCAATTGAAGAAAGAATGACTATAAGAAAGAGAATAAAAGACATTAATTTGATGTATATTATAGATAATTGTTACTAGCATTGTATGATATTTGTTTTCGGTGAAAATACTAACTATTAAAAACCCGAAACAACAACAACAACACTTATTTCTTCCCCAAAGTGATAACCCTTTCTAATATTGAGAACTTCTTCTGTCCAAGATTTTTCAATGGAACATATTTTTCTAGAGAAAGTGACATATTTATTAGATAAACATTTATACTGTGCTCCTCTTAGTTCACGGTACTTAACGCTTTGAAACCAGAAAGAAAAAAACAAATGAAATTTATGGTACAAAAATTGTCATAAGCTATAACATATAGGTGTTTTCTGCTTTATGGCACAAGGAAACAACAATTTATTCTGTCAAAGTCATTTTTAATGAACCAAACTTAGACCCTATGTCGGCCAGTATGTCATCATTTAAATCGCGGTAATGGTGTTACATTTCAGTTTTTTCATGTTTCATTTACAATTTCTACATGTTATTTTGCTTATTTTAAAAAATAAAATCACCATCCTTACTTTGTAACTCAAAATTTATTTCTTCTACAATCAAGAACATTTAGAAAATGATAATTGTTTCCGACATACGCACAAATTTAATGGACTATTTTTGCTTTTTACAGAAATTTGTAAAGTGATGTTCTGTTTTACGTAAAAAATCTAGAGATTTAAAATATTTTGCACGAAAACTTAGTTGCATAGGTGTATGAATAAAATAGGTCAATTCTGACCAATTTTAACACTGATCACATGAAAATATGCCATTACCGTGAAATAAGTGATGACGCGGAATAAGTGATGTTGGGTATACATCATTGTTATGTTGAATATGTATATATATGAATATTATGTTATCAATATAGGATGTATATGTTGGCGTTATTGGGAAAGACAAAGATGGGAACATATTTACGAGAGAACAGGATACTTTAGTCCAGCCAATCGGCATCCGGATTATTTTGAACAATTCTGAATCAGGTATGATTATGTGAAAAGAAATTATTAGCAGGCAAAATAATATTTAATCGTGTATATAAGTTAAACTAAAACAGTTGCACACTTATACTTTCCGATTTACCCTTCACTCTGCTAGAGCAGAAAGTGAGTTGCCACTGCCGCTGCCACTACTATAGAGATCTCACAATTACCACTAGTACAGAGATCACGCCTTTGACACTAGTATAGAGATCACGCTATTGTCATTAGTATAGAGATCCCGCTATTGTCATTAGTATAGAGATCCCGCTATTGTCATTAGTACAGAGATCCCGCTATTGTCATTAGTACAGAGATCACGCCTCTGCCACTAGTAAAGAGATATCACCTTTGGCACTAGTATAGAGATCCCGCTATTGTCATTAGTATAGAGATCCCACCTCTGCCACTTGTATAGAGATATCACCTTTGACACTAGTATAGAGATCCCGCTATTGTCATTAGTAAAGAAATCCCGCCTTTGCCACTAGTAAAGAAATCTCACCTTAGTCACTAGTATAGAGATCTCGCCATTGTCACAAGTAAAGAGATCCCCCTTTGCCACTGGTAAAGAGATCCCGGTTTTGTCTCTGATATAGAGATTCCGCCTTTGCCACTTGAAAAGAGATCCCCCCTTTGCCACTAGTATAGAGATACCGCCTTTCCCACAAGTATAGAGATCCTGTCTTTATTACTAATATAGAGATCCCGCCTTTGCCACTTATATAGAGATCCCGCATTTGCCACTAGTAAAGAGATACCTCATCTTGTTATCCCGGTAACTTACAATAGAAAGTTCCATAAATGGAACTACCAAATTCATCAGGTTAAGAATTAATGTTTTTTGCCTGTTGAATATTTTGTGAGACTGGAGCCCACATATGTCCTCTTTCAACTTATTACACGCACACGGTGCAATTCATTGCCGTTTATGCAAACACTTCTGTACAGTTTGACGAGGGGACGTCACTTTTGCCTAATTTTGGTTAAAACGTGTACAAATGTGTGCAAAACGTTCCTATAATACAACGGCATCACATTGTATAAATGAAATTTTCACAAATTAACCCTAATTTAAAAATTTGGAAAATTGTTATTGCCTGTTTATAAAATAAATGACAAAAAATGTTTTCAATACAGACGGCGGTTCATTCGATTGCAACGCAGTGCGGTGGGTCCGATACCATTTATGTATATTGTGAGGGTTTAGCTTAACGTAACACACTTTTCAATTGAGTACAACCCTTTTCTTACTTTGACATCTGAGAAACGTGTTTATTTGATGTTTAAAACAATATTATTACATATACGCTCGTACAAATAGATGTCAGATTTCCGCTTTCATTTTCCTTTCATTGAAAATTCCTTTGGCCGTTATTATCATAGAAAAAGTCACGTTCAACATTTTATTACGGATTATTACTAAGTATCAAGTAATTTTTGTGTGTGAATGCACTATTCCAGTTGAAATGCGCCGTAAAGTAAGAATATATATATAGTGCCCTTTATCATTAACATAAAACAGAATTCTGTTATATACTTACCAACAACAGCAAACGGCCATATTTTATCCACCGCTTCTGCGACGAATACACCACCGACGCTGCGATGGACCCTTCGCTTCAACGAGTGGAATATTGCTAGTATTATGTACTTGATACGGTTCATAATTGGTGGACATAATTCTAATTTACTTTAAAACACTATGATTGTGAACTACTAGTATAACATTTTTATTTAAGAAATTAAAGTTATTTTGGCAATGTATTGTATATTTGGTAATTGCTATATTTTCAGAATCTATTCATTCTTGTTATAGCCCTTTGTTTATACCGTTTACCATCAAAAACACGGGAGCTACTGGTGATTTTCAACTACAAGCAGAGACAGACAACTTGGTAAGTAATGTGATATCTAATGTTTGTTTTTGTTCACTGCTTGAAACTTTCACGGCAGCAATGGATTTGCGCTCGTTTTAAAGTCAAGTGATTCCTTCAAAAATCATCACAATATGAGTGTTTCATGATTAATTATCAGAATGCTGGCGCCAAATTTGGTGGTTTGTTACAGTTAAAGAGGCAGACAATCCTGTACAGGTTGAATGCACATCAATGGAATCTGGTCAGGTTGTTTATCGCCTAGTTTTAACAGTACTGTTATATTCTTAATCAGAAAAAAAAATCGTTTTTGTAAATGCTGGAATCGTTGTTATTTACTGTTGTTTTAAAAAGTTGTCTTCTACTTGTATTCACACACAATTAGGGATGTATCTCACACAAGCATGAACTTAATCAAACTATATACATAATATATTACCTAACGATTAAACAAGGCTCTTATAGTTTACGCCCAAGTAGATTTACACGGCAATTTATTTACGCGTGATTGGCTAAACACCGGTAAGCCATGACGTCAATTTGGCACCAGCGTAGTTTTAAAAAAAGTGATCTTCTAACATTTTACTTCCCTCGCTTTGCCTTTTGATTATCTATCATAACATAACGTTGTTAGAATCGAAATATTAAAAATTTAT